TAATTAAAAAAAACTTCGTATGTATAAAATCATAAAGAAATATTTTACATGATTCTTTTTTTATATATATTATTTAAGAAATTAAAATATTTTAGAAAATATCTGTTTTTTGAATTTCTCATTTAATATTATTATAGTAATTAAAATTGATATATTAATTAGCTGATTTTCTAGTGAAAAGTACTGTACATTCAAACTATTGATCGGCAGTGTACAATCTTTTAAAATTACTACCAGGTGTTTTTTTGCTTAAAATACCTTTTACTGTATATAATGAGCAACTGATCTATTTTACATTTTCTACCATCTACGAATAGCTTGTATTTTTATATAAAAGAAAAAATTCTATATTATATAAAGTGTGAAAACATTATATCATTATTATATTTTTTCTAGTATGTCGCGCCCTTTGTATAATTTAAACTGAAATATATGATCTATAATATAATGATATTTATTATTAACAGCTGATTAAACATTAATATATTTAAATTAACGTAACTTTTGCATCTGAATCATTAAACAGAGTAATATATTCGACGGTCGATTATTCCTCCGTCTGGCGACGGGAAAACGGAGGATGATCCTCCTCCAGACACCCGTTTTGTGATAAGTCTTAAGTACCAACAATAACAGCATACAAGGCTGACGTGTGCCAGATACGTCACATTCGCAGCAAGACATAACGACCGGAGGAATATTATTGTTATTGCTACGGCACGGACGCACAAAATCCCGGATTCTGCGATAGAAATGGGGAGGATTGTGGGGAACAAAGTCGGTTTAATCTCCGCTGATAATTAAGCACTAACAATAACAAACTCTCTGACCAAAGTTTCGAACTATAGAACTCGAAATATATTTTGAAAAAATATGAAAACTGCATACGTCATATAATGTGTATTCCATGATTTTTATTTTTAAATTATTAAAAATATTTTTAATTGATTTATATTTATCTATACATTTTAAACACATACACACATATATATGTAACACACACATACGTGTATATATATGGCAATTAGAAAAGAAAGAATTCTAAACTGATATTTTTTTAAATATTCAAATATATCCCCAATACGAGAAACCTCAGATGTATTCTGTATATAAAAATCTACATATTTCATAAATAATACAAGAACTGAAGAAGTTAAAATAACAGATTAACTTTTATAAGTCATAATCCTGTGATAATTACGTGCATAGTTCGTTATTCAGCAAACATGCTGAATAACGAACTATGCACGAATTCTATGCAAAATTCTATGAGATTTTAATTACGCATTTTTCATAACTTTTTCTCGAAAGTGATCAACGCGATTCCTCACAATTATTCCTAAATTACTTACGCCTATGATGGCATGTTTATTTTGTATATATTTTCATATTTATTTTGTAGGTATTTGCTGCGCGTTTTAATTTTGTTAACAAACTGGCGTGCATCACGTAAAGAATATCATCCGGCGCAAAATATACCGAAGCTGAAGGTTTAAAAGCACGGAAGGAAAAGTGAGGTGGATGGTACAGGAAGGCCGCGACAAAAGTCAAAAGCATGAAAGTGGATCGCGAAAAATATCTCCGCGGTCATGCCGAGACTTTGCGTACATTTCTTCTTGCGCCGGTTCGGTTTTCCGGTATAGCATTTCCGGTTCGCGCGGTACCGGTTATAGCGCGGGAAAAACTGTAAGACGCGAGTATATCGTAAAGAGAAAAAAGGTGATTAGATATATTCCCGTTAATTTCCGTTAACACATACACATATCCCATATGAGTTTTCTTACGATTAGTTCTATATTAAGCTAAATTAAAACAATCGCGATAAAACTGTTACAAGAAATAATTTGACGTTAATTCTAAATTTGATTTAAAAAATTAATTTAAAATTGTATTGGAAAATAGAAATATAAACCCTGATAATAAAAATTTTTTAATACATAAAAGCTATTATTAGAAATTCCTCTCTCTCTCTCACTCTCTCTGTGAATTATTTGAAAATGTGGCATATTTAATTACTATATTAATTTCCATGTTCAAGTACTAATCGTTAAATCTGTGATCTCTCGATTAATCCGCAAATTTACAATACTCCTCGATTTGGGAAAATGATTCGCATGTACATCCACCATAGAAATCAATTAAAATCATCACGATTATTACTGCAAGTTTAATGGTATATCACTGTATGTTGCTAATGGAAATTATTATTTAACAGCTGAATATTACGGTATAAATGCAAGGATTTTTGATCAACGCACGGTTTAATATTTTAAACGATGTTTAAATAACCGAATGTCTGGTTATTAGCAATATTAAACAATCAAGCCTCCAAGCTATAGCTATTCTATTGCCCATATTTATCATCCATAATTTTATCCATATTTTTATGTTTATGTTGCAAATGCACACGCAGCAAAGCAAAGGGAGTAAAACGCGCAGACGACTCTTAAATTCTCGCCAATATGAATTTTTAATTTTCCTGTACTTTACGACCGACTCATTAAAATATGGCAGAGGAAGATAATGGGGAGAGGGGGGGATGAAGGAAAGAACGGAAGCCGCGGCCTCGAAGGCGGAAGCGCAAAAGGCAAATGTATAGAGCCTCGAGGAATCCCCAGCGGAGTTATATTTTTCTCCAAGAGCACTTCTCCGACTACGTAGCGCGATTGCTCTGAGATATGCGATTACGCGAATTTATTGGTGTATAATACCTCGCGGGTTGCGAAAAGAGAAAAAGGATCGATCCGCCGCTTACACAAATTCGAAATCGATACACGGGACTTTCGCCACTTTATTTTTCCGTGGAACAATATTCAACGAAACAAAGCCGATCCGCCAAAAGTCGTTTCGCCAAATCTCAATAAAAAATATATATAGTAGAGTACTTTTATACAGAATATTATATAACTTTTATAGTACATATAATATATAATATTATTACAAAATTAATCTTGTATCAGATATAAGAAAGAAACAAAATTATTAGCAGCAAAAATTATTAATAACTATTCAGTCACACACACACACACACACACACACACACACACACACACACACACACACACACACACACACACACACACACACACACACACACACACACACACACACACACACACACACACACACACACACACACACACACACACACACACACACACACACACACACACACACACACACACACACACACACACACACACACACACACACACACACACACACACACACACACACACACACACACACACACACACACACACACACACACACACACACACACACACAAAGATCAGAAAGAGAAAGGGAGAGAGAGAGAGAGAGAGAGAACATAAAAAGGAAATTAAGAATTGTTAAATTTTTTTAAAATAAATAAAAATATAATTTATTCACAAATCTTATTACTCTAACTCACTGTTTATTTTATAAATCTGATTTAACTATAAATAATTGTCAACAAAATATGTATTTGAAGAAATGTATACGCACGCGGAACGCGCTCATGAAGCTTAGAAACGAATAAAGACCTTGTTTCTTGTTTGTTCGTTTATAATTGCCACATACAAAAACGCGAAGGGATGACAATAAAAAAGTGACGTGACAGTGAAATGATTTTGAAAAGCTGACTGAAGGAACTAGCACGAGCAGTGGACATTTATAATACAATATTTGTGGCAAAAGTGGTTGGTGCAGAAACCGACTGAGTTACGAGGGGTTATAAATTCTGAATATTAGAGTTCTGACCTGTCGTCCTCTCTTCTCTGCCTCCTTCGTCCACACTCTACTTATCCCATTCCCCTCTTCCATACAATAGAAAGAATCTTCTTCTATCTGCGCAACTCGTCTTGACCCACTATTATATCGGGAGTCATACAAAAATAGGATCTATATTTGACCGGTCTATACAAAGACACCCTGTATAAAAGAGCAAACTCTTCATGTGTATATGTGTGTATTCGCGCGCCTCGTATTCTGTTTATTATGCACATAAAGTAGAGTAGAATCCCAGCGCCCCAAGAAAAGCGAGAAAATGTATCGCTATGCAAACTGAATTCTTAAACTCTTTCGAATCTGACAATCGTAAACTCAGTGTTTTTTTCTTTACAAGATTTCATATAATTTACAATTATTTAAAAAATATTTCATTTTTTTATAATTATGATATAATGTAAGATTGGCATATTTTATATATTTTATATTATAAATGTAAATAAACATAATATTTCAAATAACATTTTTGTAATATATTTTTTATATATATTATCTATTTAACAAAAAAACGTGATAATTTTTCAAGCTTTTAATTCAAAATAATTTTCAATAAAAATATTTCTACTTACATTTATTATAAGTTTCAGAGCAAGAAATGATATATTGTGCAATAATAAGATGTGATATTTTATTCTTTAGTCAATCATGAAAATGTATTATGCGATACTCTCTTCAATTAGATCAGTGAAAATATTAAAGTAGTGACAGTAGATTTCACCAAAAGCAGTAAGTATTTCACTAATCTTCAGTAAAAATATTTTACTTTTCTGCCTTGTCGCATCAATTATAATAATAAGATTTCATTGAAAAATCTGTAACAATTACACATATTTGCAAGATATAGCTTTTAAAGCCCTTTCTAGCCTTTTATTTTAAATTGCTATTTCTCCTAACATAAGAAGTCCTCACACAAGATGTCTGAAATATATAAAATCTGTATAATTAATATTCAAAAATTTAGAATAATATACACTTTTTTACTCTTAAGATATTATAAATAAAAAGCAAAGAAGACTCTTGATCAAATTCAAATATGTCATTAATACAAAAGATATTACTATAAATTTATATTCCATATATATATAATATTATAATATATAAGACGCACACATTTTAAAATATCATTGATTGAAATAACCACTATCACTAACTGATAATACACTGATTCCATTAAAGAGAGTACGTGCTTTATTGATACAGTATGATCACAAAGAATTAAATTTGCTTACCATTCTCCTCATTGTCGATATTATTCCTCCGATATCCTGCTTCAACTGCCACTGTCCAATTATCCAAACATCCAACTATCCAACTGTCCAATTAATTCCAGCTGAAAAAGATTTATATAAATATAATTTTTTGTCATACCATTTTTAGAAGTGCATGTAATTATAAAGTTTTTTCAGAAATTTTATATTTATAGTCAACAAGAAATATCCTTGTATATTTTTATATAAATTTATGTCATAGATTTTTTGTTACAACATATTTACTCACCCATTATTGATTCCTTATAACCTCTTTTGTGCAATTTTGGATGCATTTCGAGTTGATTTATTCACACGAATACGAATACGATCACGAAAATCACTCCCGATATTTATTCAAATTTTACGCGATACCATTTTTAAGGATTCTAACGATAAATTTTTAAGACAAAGCGATATCTTCACGACGAATCGCGAATACGTTATCGAAAACGAACCCAGACAATCGTTGCCCAACCATCACTCTGGTTGTATAATTAAATATCAAAGTATTTCACACGCGATCTGAAATATAACGCGCGATACTTATTCGCCTGCTTTTAATGTATATTTACACGCGCGATTTGATCTTGAAAAAGCAATGTAACGGTGACGCCGTGCCGGTGTTTACTTGTGACTAAGACACGTTCCACTCGACATTCGCATCGTTCGTAGGATCATTTCATCCTTGTCGTTCACCGAATTCTAAACAAGGACACCGTGATGATGCTCGTGAGCGTTTCGATTGCCATTGAAATATGTGTATGTGTATGTAATATAACTTATTGTTAATGCGGA